CTAATGAAAACAACATCACTCACTAAATTCTAGGTTCATACAGCCGATGAGTCTCAAATAAGAAGAAACGAGAGTCCTAAACTCAACTGCTAGACATAATGCATCCTTATTATCAAACTGAAAGCACCGGTAATATCAAGTCATCCTCACAGGGGTCAATTATGTCAACAATAACCTGTCAAGGACGAATAATTACGAGCTATGGTATATAACCCTCAATTATTTAAGGAATAGCGTCAGTAGCAACGTTCCAAGTAGCTTTTGAATAAACCATTTTGTAACTGAGGCTTTATTTCAACCTCATTTACCGTTTCCTCATTGTGACATCAGTCTAGCAATCAAAATTATATCAGAAGATTCGGTTGACAGTATGTATTCATATTCGCTTGTAAATCATTTTAGTGTCTACTTCATGAAACCAGTATCAACATTGTTAACTATATAGTAGACGTAACTATATCATCAGAAGCATATAAACTTACTAAATTTACAATTCTAACTACATAACATGAGCATCCTGTTACTGAGCTTGTAAAAATTGTAAATTTACTTAGAAATCCTAAACCCAGTATTTTGACATTTAAAATTTTTAAATTTGGCTTGGTTACAAAAAGAAGTTGGGCACTATCAGGTGGTGATTGTATAGGTATACTGAAGCGATACCCAACTAATCATTCAGAAGGAAATATATTGACAAGTGAATAAACTATCCTTTCTGTTCATCACAAATCATTTAGACTTAATCCATTGCTGCTTAGAATAGTAGAGTTTACACAATCGACAGTTGATCAGTGAAAGAGCTGTACTACTTATTTCAAAACTGTATTTAGTAATCCAACCTTAGAAGTTGCAAACTATACCTTGTTGCTTCTGCTTATTCGATTAAAATAATCTTTATTCTCGTTTATGGACTAACTCAGTAGCTTTACATGAATAGATATATATCTCACTGGTATGTTTGGCCAGTCAGACTAAGAGCTTCGTGTATAGCAGTTTATATTTCATGAAATCACTTAGTGGCATTTAAACATGGATGGCAACAAAACTGGAAGCCTTTCAATAGTTTGAATTGAATACATTAATCAGAATTCATAGGGATTCAAAATGAGTCCTTAAAAAAGAAAATTTTAAAGCCTAAATGTTTGTATGATAATGGTTTCTTTTCAATAACTTTAAAACAATGAGCACTCAGTGGTATTTGATATTTAGGAGTTGGGGTTAAAAGGGATTTTACTTACTCAAACTTCAGTTAAAAACAAAGCATAGAAGTAAGTCTTTTTCTGATACCCTACTGTGATGAACAAAAGGCTCTTCGTGATCGAAAGCAATAAACACCCGCTGAGTTCGCTTGAAAAGCAAACATGACGGTAATGACATAGTGTGTTTTTCTAAATACTTGATTTTCGTGCAAAAATTATCTTTAACATAACTATGACTGCATTGTAAAAAAACTTATGGCGAAGATAAACAAGGAAGTTCAAGATTTGAGTCAAGAGATAATCAAATAGAATTCAAACTGTGTTCACTGTTGATGTGATTATAAACGGACTTAATACAAGAATATGCGGTGGAATTATCTACATATCACCGAAAACAGCAATGGTTTACTTATAGACAATTGTGAAGCAGTTTCCGCCCATTAAACTACTTTTTACTGAGACCAACCAGAAACATTTTAGCAAAACTTTACAAATCGATGTACAGTGGCATTCCAAAAGTTCACCGACTAGCGAACAAGTGCAGAAAAATTCAGCTAAACTACGCAGAAGCCAACAGAGAGTCTAACAAGGAAACTGGCATAAAATTTCAGTTTTCCTTCTTTGTAAAATACAACGACGTAAGGTTTGTAAAATTTTAAAACCTGCAGGAAGTAGAAACACCTAGGCTTGTAAAGCCAGATATGAAGCACATCACTAGGTCTCAAAATACTGATCTGTTTGGCGTGTGTGTCTTTCTTTATACAACTAATATCGGTAGCTGGAAACTTAATAGTCTGATGCAACATCTTAGTCTGGTTACTCTTACCTTTTTCACAAGCTAAACTTAATTCGTCTTTCATCGTTTACCTTAAAAGACGGCGAGAAAGGATGAGTACACATATACTCAGGCATCTCAGTTCATTTTCGTGATTTCAGTGAATGACTCATTTTCATACACTGACAGTCTACGTTTAATGTTATCTCTGCTCTCTGCGTGACCCTATCACATACCGAACAGATCCAAAGACATTGATTGTTGGAAGACTATAACTTCGGTATATCATCTACCAACAGCCATATCTCACATTTCCGTAGTGGGGCAAAGAGAATTTCCGTCTGCTGCTACGCCATAGTATTCAAAAAGGAGTATGTGATTACGGAATAATCGCTTTCCCCAAGATGCTACTTCACTCAGAACACCATTTAGTTCTTCATTTGGCTATTTATATCATATTAAGCGAAGGAACAATCCAAAGCTTACATAAATAAAGTGTCCAGTCATAACCATGTTCTGATGAACAATGACAAAAGTGAACATCATAACCTAGAGTATTATGGATTAATAATTATCTCATGAATATCCTAGAAAAAAAGACGTTACGGAACAAAGGATGAGAGCAAACGAATATGAAAACCATGTAAAAACACTTGAATAAAGCGGTTTCCTAGAAATTATTAGATATACATTTCTGTACCGTAAGTAAAACAAGGAATCTCACCAAAAATAAGATATGCCACGTTAGCTATTAGAAGAAAGCCGTAAAAGGTTTAGGGCCTAGACCTTGTGCTTGTGACTTGTTGCTCATTAAAAGCATCCTCATGTTCATCGAATGACCTTATTCATTGCTAATTATCCGATGGTTTTGGTACCACCAGCTTACCTGTTAACTAACTTGAAGAGGTAAATTTGAAAATTACCCACTGGTTCACTTTTTATACATTAAACGACTAAACGATTCCCATTCCACTAATCTAAAAGCAATGTGAACGAAAAATACTCTTTTCTATAAGTTCGCTTCAGGTTCCACAAATGCAAACTGACCAAATGTGCTGCAGATCTGTTTTCACAATGAAACATGAATTGAGGACTGGGGGCAGATGGATTTTTCTTTCAATATTTGTAGCTGTTAAGATGGCTTATATACATATAAGTAATGTGGTACCAAGAGAAATAAATATAAAAGACAGCAAACGAGGATTATTAAAATAGCCTTTAGTCGGTTAAAAGTCAAAGAGGGAATAACTCCTGAACGCACTCTGTCTGAATTTAGAGTTTATGTCTGATCAGTCTTACCGCCGCAGCCTTATCTGCCCTTCAAAGCAGTAAGTGAGCCGCACTTACCAATGCTTTTGGAACAGGGCGTCTGATAGTTAAAGCTATATTAGAAGCTATGCAGTGCCCTGCCCCTATTAGGTGTGTTATTAACACAATGAAAAATTCGGAAAATAAATTTCAATTTACTTACACCCCCCTAATTCATATATATATTTTAGAAATGGATTTAGGGTGAATTTCACCTGTTTTAGTGATGGAGAGATTCATTTTGTAATCGTGGAACCTAGACAGAATCTAGTGATAAGACTATTCTCTTTTCACACTGTCCTTCAATACGTAATTTGTTCCTTAAATTGCAAAAAATTCGATTCACGATGATTCTGAAATGATGTGAAAGATTTGTAGCTCAAGATGATGACTATGGTTTGGTGTTCTCAGAACTTTAATATCTTATCGCGAACGTTTGATCACCAGCTTGGTTATATCTTCGGCACTGACTTCATAATGAAGTGAGGTATATTGGAATGCTTAGATAGTGTTTTTATTGATCTTAGGTGACGTCATACTGTACGTCACTATTGATCAGTGATGATGCATCAACATCAACAATGAGTGTAACCAAACTCTAAAAAATAAATTCAATTTATTTCTGAATGAGCAAACTATTCAAAGTCGTCAGTTCGTCGCGCAATAAAAATCCTACATAATTAAAATGCATAATGAATAAATCTAACAGTAGAGTCGTATTATTCATCTTCAAGAACCAGATTTTGGAATCATTTAGACAGAATAGGTGTTGTCGTCTCTAATTTGACTGAAATTATAAAAAACTTCAGTTATTATTCTGTTACTGTCAGTGAATTTCGTTAGCGTCCGTCGGAACGTGAATAAATCGATCAGTTTTTAATACATCCACATTTCTTCTATATTCAGAGAATATTTTGTTGCACCACAAAGTTGGATAACACCTACCTAAATCCTTATTTAAAGAAGTAAAAGACTTTTTGAGCATATCTATTCTAGATAATGACTGCAAGGAGCCGACAGAAGTTTGAATAAAATAATTTCCTAGAATTTCTTGCAACTGATTCCAATTAGGGAATTGAATACAACTGGTTTTATAGAAATCCATTGTATCACAATATAAAGCCTATTTGAATAATCATGACATTCTGGTCTTCAGCCTACAACTAATCCCAGTTTGTCTGCTGTCTACATAAGCATTAATAAGGCAAAGACGGAAAAACTTGTAAGGGAACTGTGGAAAAGCAACCCACTCTTAGGATTCTTTGAAACTCAAGAAAACTTGTTTTGTAACCATGCATCATTAGAAACAAAGTAATTCAGGCAGTAAATTGAATGGTAATAAGATGAATAATCAAGTAATAAATTCATGTACATATATGATGTTGAATAGGTTATGCAGAAGTGACTTGTTCAGAAGCATCAGTTTAAATCCTTCAAGAAGAAACTGAAAGCAAAAAAGCCATATACATCTCTACCTTCTCCATATTTGCATCTATTTAGCAGTGTAATCGCTGACACTATGATATAGAATGAAACCAAGGACTTACCGAAGTGTAATTTATTTAAGTTTGTTATCTTGTGGAATATATCATATGCTAAACATGTCTCAAGCAAAGTGATTTTAAAAAAAGCTTCATGTAGAATAACTTTCTTCCATTGTTCAGTTTTGTTCCTAATAACTTACTTCACTATTTCAAATTCTGCTTTTACCTCTGTAGGTTACTGTGAAATCATACTTTGCTCAATCAAAGTACTCGTTTCTAGATTACATCTTTGGTGGGTAAGTTCAAAATATTCAAGAGTTAAAACTAAACTTCATAAGATTTTTTGTTTGATGCGTTTAATTTCCCTTTGGTATGCAGGGCCGAAATGTTCGACATCGATGGGTGGCGGGTTCGAGTTCCAGCGAGAAAAACATCACTCACTGAAGAGCAGGTACACCTAGATGATAAGTCTCAAATAGAAAGGAACGCACATCCCAGATTCCACTGCCAGTCACCAACATGAATAAAATTTCACGATATTTTGTTCAATCTTTTCGTCTTTTAATCATGTTTTAATATAATTTAAGAGTTATATCAAAAAGATTATACTGTGTTTCCCATACTCAGGAATAACATGGCTTGAACTTCACATAACCAATTCAACTCAGAAATCTGTATCAGTTTTGCAAAATGTTTTTCGTTCTATTTTTATATCAGGGATCAAAACATTAAACTGACAAACTACTCATTTTATCTTTAATGGTGCCACTCAAACACTATTTCAGCTCCTGTACTAATTTTCTACTGCATACCTGTAGGAAAGTAAACAACAGCTCCGTGAATCAGGATGTTTATTTGTTGATACAGAACTCCTAATTGATTTGCTCTTCACTTGACCTAAAGTGTTTTGTTAGTCACTTTTTCAACAGGATAACTTACAGTCAAAGAGGTTGAAGGAAATGCAACGTTTTTTTCTTCTTTTTCTCCATTGTCATGCACCTATGTTTCTTTACAACTCAGCATCTCGCTTTTTCTCCTGGCCTAGCTGTAGTGTTTCGCATGCTGACTGATCATTGAGGTGCAGGTGTTGTTCACTGATGATTACCGAAGTAAAACGGAATACTTTTTACACGGTCTACATACTCGGCATCAAACTTAACATTCAATAACTATGCTTCATAAAAATATTACATCCACACACAAGTGACTCACAAATGAGACAAAAAAAATGTAAAAATGTAAAATTTTAGTGCTGTAAAAAGAATGAAACGCAAGATACTCAGGGAAAATATGACTGATTTTGCTAGGTTTCACAGAATATTTCTACAAAAATCTACAAAAGATTGATAAGGCCCAAGTCTATTGTAAATATATATATACCCTTGAATTTTGTATATATTTTGACACTGCAATGCACCTTCTGCTATATTACCAATTTTTCCATTTATCGAGAAACTGAGCTGCCAACAAGGAGTGGAATTCGAAGGTTATTGTTCAAGCGTCCGCATATATATATATATATATATATATATATATATAACTCAGGTCACATCCAATCAAACACATATATAACCTAAGCTGTATCAATTAGTCATTAAAAAGATATAATAAGTAGTCTCAGGGTTATGACATATACTCAAGGTAAATCGGTTTAGGAAAATACATAACAGAAAACAACTAAGATTTATAGGCCTAAACGATAAAGGATGTTCCTAAGAATTGACAGGCAGTTTTCCTTAGCAATTAAATTTTAAAAAAAGCTGAATATATATCACTTGTTTTATTAGATTATGACAAATTTCTATGTTTCATAAAAAAAATTGAAGTTTGGGTTTTTATTCCTATCGTCATAGTTATCAACTCCTGGATGTACTTCTTTAAAATGCTGATTAACAATCTAACGCTATGAGGGGTACTTCAACTACACAGTCAATATATAATCAGACTAATCTAAAAAGTACAATAAAGTCATACAATTTAAACATCATTTATTACACAACTAATTGACCTGTATATTTCAAGAAATTTCATTACCAAGTGCATATATATGATAAGAGTGAAAATTGTCCACTAATATTAAAGGAAAATTTATACTTTAAAACTGAACTTTGTAATGAAGGATAGAATAGAATGAGATAATTTAAACATTAGCAGAGATCAATAAAATGAATCTTCAGCGTTAATGCCTTCAGATGAATATTTTGATATGTCAATCTACATTTTTTTTACTGTAGCCATTAAAAATTATTTCCAAGATAAATATTCTTCAGATCTTTCATGCCTAGAATCCTATGATGCATCCCGTTCACTATGATAACTGGGAAGAAAATAGAGTTGTCTACTTTTAATATTTTCTCCCCTATTTCAGTGAGCTCTTGGTCATTTGACTAGCGAATTTACTAAGGAATCCGTGTCAGTAAACAAAAATGCTGATTCCTAAAACTGTTTTGTCCACTTTCCGACAGAGATGTTATGAAATCTATCATTTTTACAGATTACATACAGTAGTACTTCTGGGCAGTCGTGGGGCCACGTTTTGAAGACTGCAGAGAACAGAGTGCAATCGAGGCATGTTACTGAAGCCCTATGTTCCACTAGGAACCCAAGGGAATAATAATACATACATACAGTAGTAATCAATATGTGAACAGAAATAGTGTTTTAATAGCGTCACAGCAGGACTAACGGCTAAAGTGGACAGATTTTACCAGCCTAATGTTTGTGATTATTGACATGTAAATAAGGTAAGAAGTATTTACGCAACTCTTTCATACAAGCAGTTTGATTGAATGTGTGAAATCCAGGATGTTTCATCCTTTACAATCATATCTAAGTCCATTTATGTAGCAATTCAAAATCTTCCAGTGTTGATGAAACCACCATGGCTTTGACTTCATATCCAAACTCAGTAGAACATTTTTTTTACCATTTAGTTCATCTCATCATTGATCACAAAATTGATTGTTTTAATTGTGACTTACTGGATAATTTATTCCATTTTCACCTCTCCGTTAATTTCTTAGTGTTCACTGACCTTATTGTATTTTGTCTCATGTTGGAATCTTATCTAAAAGGCCAACATCCTCCTGCTTAGCAGGTATAAAGAAGAAGAATCCTAATCTCCTTAACCTTCCCTCTCATTTATGAAATATTAGCTTGCTTTTAAGTTTGTGTACTTGAACACATACAGACATAAATTATCCATAATCATACTAACTACACGCAGATGAGATTATCTGGTAGCCAGCTTTTGGAAAGACTGATTTCATTAAATATGTCTCAGTGTACGATGTTCCATATTAGTTTCATCTTCATATGTTATTTTATTTGAAAAAGTAGTCTGGTTTGACATCATAAAAGTTATTTGACATCATTTAACTAGCATTATTTATAAATAAACAAAATTCAGAGAATAAGTTTGTATCATAATAGTCAGCAGTAAAGCTTTTAATATTACTGAACTAAGTTGACTTTATGTATCTCTTACTACCCCAAAACTTTCACGAACCCAAAACGCAAAGCTTCTAACCTTATTGTATCACTATCTTTATACGTTCTTAAATAAACACTAGCTCTAATTTCTTGTCACGGATTCTACAGATCGATTTGACCATGCATTGTTAACCTACATAATTTATATACTGACACCTTGGTATTTAAATCCAGGCTTCATTGTCTTTAAACGAAACCGAAACTTTATTATCTTAAGGAAAAATAGATGCGCAGTGATGTGGTGAGCTGAGTTGTTACAAAGAGGTTAAAAAGAACATTGTGCATTACATGGCTGCTTACCTTGTTCTCTTTCTATACTTTACCGCCCATCACAAAAGTATGTAATTTTATTATTCAAATGTCATTCACACTAGGATTCAGTCAATCTAAAATGATTCACATTTAACGGTTACATATTGAAAAGTCATCTTATGTCATACAGTATCCAATAGTCGACTGTGCTTGACAACTGATAATTTGCATATGTTTTTCTGAAACAAGTAATCCCTTTTATGAATTTCGATAGTGCATTTAGAAGACGATGTTTGTCCGAAAAATGCGATGCATTTGCGTAATACATTTTAAACAGTCTGATCACACATTTACTTGTAAAGTCAATCTATGTTAAACCGAAGAGTTGAAGAACAAATAGAGTAATCAAGACATTAGGGAATTAAAATTGTGAAAGATGAGAACAACATGGAAGAGTGGCATAACTGATCCTAATCTTGGTAAGCAAATACAGTTTACCAAAATGGGCATTTTCTTACTAAGATTAGGATCAACTATGTTACTGTTGCATGTTGTTCTCATCTTTCACAATTTAAATCCCATATTTTCTTAGTTGTTCTATTTAACCTCTGACTCTTCGGTTTAATATAAACTGACTCGACAAGTAAAGTTATCTGACTATTCGAAATGTATTATGTAAATACTTCCGATTGTTCAGACAGACTTCATCTTTCTAACTTCATCAACAAAAATCTGTTCCTAACAGTAGTCAGAATTCAGTTGAAATCTTCACCAAAAGCCGATATAAAGGTTTTAGCTTCTTTGTGATGAATGTAACTATTTATGTTTTCCTCATCAGTGAGATAGGACTGAACCTTACAAACAATAAAGTAATTATTGCAAGTGGTTATTCATCGTAGACTACCATCAGTTGGAGGAAAACAGGAAACCTGGGAGCTCTGGACAGCTGTTTTGTCCTAGTATAGGACTTCTCAGAGGTGCGCACCCACACCCCCGCTAGGGATCGAACCCGCAACCTTCAGGTTCCGTGGGCAGCACGTTACTGAGGAGAACTACATTACATAATTGCCAAAAGGAAACTAGATTTCGAGTGAAATGAGTTCATTGTAAGCATAAAGTTATCAGCAGAAGATTACAGTGTTTCGAAGCAGTTCTCATCGGTTTATCCAAAATGTGGCGGTTATAAGTAAGTTAACTCCAAATGTCTAATTAACAGAAAACGACCTTTTTGGCTGATACGACTAAGACACGACTATTCACCCTGGTTCCCTCCTTTTATTCAAGATAAATATACTTTATGTTGAACGTCTCAAATCATTTTAAGCAGTTACTTATTATGTTTACTACATTAGTTTTTACTTTGCCAATAACCAATTAAGTGTTGGTCATTAGGAACCAGTGCTAAGAACGATTTGTAAAATGGCGCATCAATTTGAAATTTCATATTTGCATCAGCATATCATACATCTTATAACGAGTGATACACTTGAGCTATGCATATGATTTCAGAACTCAGTTGTCATTTCTGCAATAATTTTTATCACTATTGCACTGAGTGACTATTTCCAGCCTCCAAGCAAATATTTTACGAACTCCTCCCAGTTTTTTTCTGTTTGCTACCAGCACCTATACATTAAGCATCACTGTCATGCTTCACATTCCGGTGCAATATAACAGTGACTTCTCTTCCATCATTTTTGAAGCTGTAATGAACTGTAGAAACCTTTTCACAACAAGTAAAAAATGGCTACTGACAATTACCGTTATATTTATCATCTTAAGTTAGACAATCTTAGGAGAATGCAATTTGTTCAGATTTCCAACACCGAGAGGAATTTTCAGTGACAGCAAATCTGTTTTCCTGTTTTCTTCAACACCCTTATGAAATGTATTTCTAAATTCCTTTGTATAAATAATGTATACCTTCCCTTTCTTTCTGAGGAATACAATAATATTAATGCTCAGTTTAGCGTGACAAGTAATTAATGTTCGCTGAATGCCACCATCTTCTGACTGCAAACTTCGATCTTTAAATGTTTCTAATCAGAGGATTTCTCAAATTAAGCTTTAAAAAGTTTCGTAAACTCACTTTAGTGGAAAAATCTAAGCCATATGAATAAGTGAACAAGTGTTTGTTGTTGTAGCATGTTGGATAAGTCTGTTTCCTTTATGTTCGGAAACAGGTTTTAACCTGTGAATGTTATAAATAGGTTTTCGGAATGTAAAAAATATTTAAAACGATCGGTAACATAAAGTATTAACAGAATGGATACAAATCACTACAAATAAACAGTCACTTAAATTATTTTCAACATACCAAACATTGCCGTAGTTTAGAAAGCTTTTGAACATTTTTATTTGCGCTGATGGATTGCAAAACAACATGGGATAAGTTTCTTCTCATTCAGGACACTTTGGCTAAATATCATTTCAGGTGTTTGCGTTTCGACGAGGACTCAAAAACAGCCGCCATAGCGTCAGCCACTTCTGACGTAACAGTATTTCACCTTAAATCACTTGTTTTGAATTCCAATTGAACACTCTATCACGCTAAGCTGATGAAGCCCTGTGAACATGCAACCAGGTAATCTACTGATAAAATGTGTTCTTAGAATAGATAAGTTTTAAATTAAGTTCACAGTGGGAACTATAGCGTTGGTTTTATGTTATTCGGTTGAAAGCAACCGACATGAGGCTCTACTATGACCTAAATATCTTAGTGATGTCTCTAACTACATCGGGCGACCTAATTCCATGGAGGTTGATGGTGAGCCTTCCAGGAGAGCTAGAATAAGTAGGAAACCTAAGTTCAGAGTTTTCTGCTGATTGTCTGTGGCCAACCAAAGTCAGTCAAAGCAAATCATGATATTGAATATTCTAGCTTAATGACTACATCACAAAACCATCCACAGAATTCCATCAACACTTAAGACTAGATAATATGAAATCAGTTGCTCTCCAGCGACCAACTAATGTTTATCATGGGTCTCCATAAGACGAAAATATTCTTAAGTATTACACGTTTACCATATAAGGGAATAAAATGCATATCGTATGGAAATGAAGTTAGTGTTTAAACAATCGTTCATTTGTAATAATTGACAAACGCATTTACCGTCATTATGAAACATGCAATCCAGGTTGAAAAAATAAAGTTACTTCAATATTTTTTGAGATAACAAAGAACGAAATCAACCTTTTTCTACTAAGATTCTGACAGATGTCATTTTTCTGCTTCTTTCTCTTAATCGTAATTTTTTTTCTATTTTTGTTTTTTAATTTATTCTACAGCTTAAGCATAAATGTAGTTGTCGCTGTTGACATGTCAAGTCATGCTTCAGCAAACTTAACAGGTACAATGAATCAACAAATTGAATTATCTCAATCTCATACAGAATATGAAGTAGCTATACAGGCTGTGATGGAAATACTTCAGGAATATGACAGGTAAAACCAGTGAAATAAAAATAATAATAATAAAATCTAATAAAAATAATCCCTGTTAAACAGATACTTTATTCTGTATCAACAGATTTATTTTTTTCATGATTATCCTTATTATGATTGCAATAAAAATTGAAAACAAATTTGATATGAACGATGTCATTAATAAATTTGATATTAGTCGAAACTAACTAAAAAACTATTGAAAATCACATAATGAAGGAGGTTTGTTTGGCAAGAGCCGGTAAAAGCTGAGTTGTAATCCAGTGTTGTAACCATTACCTGTACACCCTCACACTAATCGATTTATTGTATCAGCAAATAAATAGATCTTAAATGGCTAAGTTTCTACTTAACCAAGTTAGTGAAAATCTGTCCTTATGTTGCTTAGAAGTCAGTGTTGAAAAACAACATTTCATTCTTGACAGTTTATTCGTAAATAAATAAATGAGATAAAATTTCCAAGAGCATGATACAACGAAGATAAGGCATCACTTCCTAGAACATATTAAGGATGCAAGGTATAGAGGCTATGCAACTAATAATTCTCTGTTCACTTCATAACCACAAACTTCAAACAAAGAAAAGACACGAAATTGATGATTTATTGAGAAGTGATTAATTATCTATTCATGAAATGACCTTCAGTGGTTGATGAGTTGAATTGTATGATTCATCTACTTTCTGCAAGAACGAATTATTCGAAACACAATAAATTTCACAGACCAATGAGAAACTGTCATGAAAAAGAAAGGGATAGAAGTGATGGTTTGTAAATTCTGTTACTAGAAACGTATGAATTTAAAATGGGTTACATGGTGGTTTTATAACGACATATGATGTGATAATCAGTTGCAGAACGAAAGAGCATGCTTTTTATACCGAATTGTTTTAAGTTCCACTTTACAAGAATATAAAGTACCAGGTGTCGTTTGCACCATCTACAATCATACACTAAGCGTAAGCACCATATTGGTGGAATAACACCAGTTAACCGAAGGCAGGAAATAAAACCTCATGATTAGTGACTGTCCTGGTGTGGTAGAAAGACTAAAAATGCTCTGGATTAAAAATTAAGATTGGAACAGGCTGGCTGGTTAGCTTCAGGTTTTAGTGCCACAAACAGTCATCAACCGCATTCAACAGCAGCTATGCTATGCTATGTGATGCTGCATGCCAAGTGATTCACAATGGAAAGCTCAGCTCACTGATGCCTTTGAAGTGAAGACAGGAGTAAGACAAGGCTGTCGCATACTCTCAGTGGTGATATTCCTGATTGTGGTCGACTGGACTGGATCATGCGACAGACAACCGTGAGGAGCGAGGTGTGCATACACTGGCTGGACCAAGGAGAAGAGCCCACAAGATTTCGATTTCCACCATAATGTTCAGTGTCTAGTCTCGGAGATCTACAGGCTGAAACCAACAAGTTGATAGAAGGGACGATGCAGTGAAGGGAGATAGGACTTCAGGTGAACATAGAGGAGACAGAGGGGATGAAGATACTCAACAAACAACAACATCAGCAACAAGTGCCGATCATCATCAAATGGGAGAAATCTGAAGGAAGTTGTCTCTTTCACCTACCTAGGCAAGACAACATCGTTTTAACTACAGATGGTGACATAGATGATGATGTCAAAACGAGGAACGGAGAGACAGCAAGACAGACTTTCATTGGTCTGAAATCAGTGTGGATATCTACTGCACTGCACTGCAATCAGCATAAAGCGTGAACAACATCCGGATTTTCAACACTAATGTCATTCAAGTCAATGCTTTTATGCGATGGTTGAGAGACTTGGTGCGTTACGAAAAGTATTTCTACCAAACTACAGACATAGATCACATCAACAGCTGCCGCCTACGCCTACTGGATACTGAAGATCAGATTAGTCGGCGAGAATAAAAAGAATAAGCAACAAGGAACACTGGTTGGCAACGAACCAACCAACAACCCATCACCCAACAAATATGCAAAGGAAAGTGGAGATGGACTGAATTGGATTAAACATGCACTGAGAAGACGGTTTGGCACTTGTCACACCACGTCAGGCTCCAGAGCGGAAGCCATATGTGAAACGATGGTTTGGGTGCTCGAAGCGAGGGTGACATAGAGGAGATGGTGTGAGGAAGAAATGTAAGCTTGTGGGCAGTCGTGGAGTTATGTTTGATAGACCACAGAGAAATAAAAGTAATGGCGACGTGCTACTGAAACCCTATGTTCCACTGGGAACTCAAGACACACATAATAATAAATAATCACGGTGTGGTTAGATTGAAATGCCTCTAGATAAAGACCTGAGTCTAATTAGTGATTCCAGTGTTATAGCATGTAAAAGCTACTTGGCAGAAAAGTCAGTTTCATATCTCAGCAATAGTAAAGTAGTTGTTTGACAATGTAGAAATATTGAGACTATCAAAAAACTCTTTAGGCAGCTGAGGTGCTACGTTGAACTTAATTCTAGTAACAAAGACGTTTTATGTTGGAATTCATCATGGACTGACATTAGATGAAGTAACACTAGAAACCTGGGAGCAATGGACAGCTATTTCCTTCTAGTATTCAACTCCACAGTAGTGCGTATCCATGACACCGACAGGGATCGAACCCAGGGCCTTCAGGTTCTATGGTCAGCACGTTGCTACTAAGCCACTGGTTCCAAATTCATTGATAAATTTTCCCTACTTCTGTCAGTTCACGATATACATCCAATGTCGTCGTTCAGTAACTGTTCTCATGTTTGACTTGGTTGACTATACAAACCTCCAGATAGAAAGTGAATTTTATGATTAGTAAATAAAGATGAGTAACTATTGCAAAACAGACCTTCTACCAATACATATATTAACAATGTGAGTTCGACTTTATTTCTAACTACTTTCAGTCAGGGAAGCTCTCAGTTACTCATTTTTCAGTCATACAATACCTGAACAAAACAGTGTCAGCGTTGTATTTTATTTGGTTGCACACTTTCGCAACTCCACAAGCATTCCATAAGGCAGATACTCTAAAGATGGTTAGTTTGTATACTACAGGGACCTTAGTTCTATCCCAACTTTATCTATATTCTATGCATATTTGACCAAGCTTTTCACTAGGGCTTATAAACTGTTTTGTGAAACCCAACTTAATATGTGATCTAATAAAGCGTTTGTTTAAATGTACTGACTTCTTCCCTGTTTTCGTGTTTTCCTTTACCAAACATTAGCGATCAACTTTTCCCTGCCTTTGGATTTGGTGCAAAAGTTTCCTCGGGTGGAAAGTTGTCTTACAGATATCCATTGGTGAGTTAGCCAATATCTCAGCATAAAATGTAGTTTTTCATCAAGCTGATTAAAGAATGAATGATAATTTTGCCTAATGTGTAACTGATTCTTTCTTGGTGAATCCAGAATCTGTTTAAATATTACAGCCTAGTCTGGTTAAAGCAAACTAACTGAGATATAAGAAACTTCATCTCTTCTACAGAAATGCATTTTTCTCAGCTTTAAACATTATTAATTATCGTATTTAAGCACAATCAAGTCTCTTTGATAGCTGACTACTTTAATGAAAAAGATATTTCGGCAAAAAATAGAACTTATATATATATATATATATATATGAATTCAAGCTAAACAGGATGAAATTCACCAAGTAATTAATAAATAAGCACATCTTAAAAGTACTTGTTTATTTTCAGCCGGAAAGATAACTGCATCAGGAACAATCCACCAACCGTAATTCAGTCCTGTATGAATAACTTGTGGGTGGAGCATATGACCGTGGAACTGACTGATACGAGTTTAATTTTTTAAAAGAGATCGAATTTCCCAAGTTTACAGATATACCTTACTAATGAGTTCTACAAAACAACAAACCTAGGCCAAGAGCTTCCCAATGATGTATGCCTACAATAGCTGATGCAGTACAAATATGACCAAACAACTTCAGTCCCAACATAAGATTTGATAGGAAATTCATTTAGGAAATCAAAGATCGATCTTCTGTATTCAGAGCTGCTTAAAGCCTAATTAATTTGTGCTTCGGAGCAAGACGAAAAATAAGATAATTACATGCGCAAATCCACCAATCGAAAATTTATTTGTCAGTGTACAAACTAATTCTGATTCAGAACGAGATTTGAGCTTCATTTCAAGAACTGGACATCAAAAATCCATGTCTGTACATAAACCCCACCCTAATTATCACACAAATTGTTTTAACGTCATACCAACAGTTTGATTTTAATGAGGTTTCATTTGTTAGTGTTTGAAGAGCCTTTCAGTCATAAAGACTAACCTATTGGACTCCTTCAGAAACATTGAACGCATTTCACGGACAAAAGCAGCTTGTTTATTTTGTCGGGACACACCTATACTTATATTGTCAGTTGCACGAACATTATGGTCTTCAGAATCTGTTAATATGGTTTCTGTCTTTGCAACTTACTTCTAGCTACCTGAACGTCTTAATTCCCTTTCCTATTACGAACTGAATGTGACGGTCAAGTGTGAGCACAGTTAACAATAAAAAACCCTACTTATTTCCTAACACTCAGAATAATTACATTCTCACATTACAAGACAGGTCTCTTTAATCTTATACGTTTTAATTCCCATCAACTTGATTCCACTTGCTGTTTCGCTAAGCTGAAAACTCCTCCGCAAAATATTCAGCTGCTAGCTGTTAGTGTTTTTTGTAAATGTCACTGCATAGAACATTTGCTATTCTGAAGCAGCATTGAAATGAGCCACACTTACTGCGTGTAAGCTAATGATAATACCCTGCTACCCAAACCTCAGTAGGTGGATTGCGTTTCGAACCCGTATGTCAACGGCTTGAAGTTAAGTTCATAGACCAATGGAGTAGCCTTAATATGGACTTAATTCTGATCACTGTTACAAATACAAATAAATATAAAAGGTCGAAGGCTAGCTAAACTCAAATCTTCCAGGAATATACACCGAATAATTCATAGTCCATTATCCATTTATTTTTCCTGTATATAAAACTTTTGTATGTAAATAAGTGTATCTGTGAGTTTATTCAATATGTGAGGCTCAACAAAACAATGCCTTTAGCTTTAATTTAAATAACTACTTAAGTGACCTATGAGTAAAAACTTCTTGGTATACGCTTTGATTACTTTCTGTCTGGCGTCCAAATACTCCAAGTGTACTTACAGTTCCATAGGATGGTGTTCCTTCTATAAGAATAATACATACAACTACAGTCTTTTCCTTATCTTCTCTTACTGGAAAATAACAAGAGAAAACAAAGTAGAATATTAGCTCAATTTTAGGCATCAATTGAAAGCATATTCACTACATACTTTTTGGGAGCATATCTAGCATAAATTTCTAAAACTGCAGGATTCATTTGTGTGTCTACGAAGTAAATAATTTATGGTATTTACTGACTGCTCATCTCCTTAAACTGTTAAATACTATGATGTTTTTATTCATCAATGGGTTAGCTATTTTTTATGCTTGTTTGTTATTTTAATTACTGTAAACTAAAGGATCTATGGACATCTCTTCTAAAAGGAAACTCTGACACCATTCAAATCCCACGGACATATATATATATATATATATATATATAATATGCATAGTATTTGCACTATACAAAGGAGTTTTCCGCATACTTAAAAACAAACTATCAAATGCATTTCGTATATCCTCTATGTCAACATCTTAAAGCACTTCGTAAACAACTTGTGAAATATTTCCCATTTTCTGAAAACCTTCCCTTCAAATCATGAAAATGATGTTAAGAAATTACTTCGGCTGCTTAGAGTATGAGGTTTACCTACGGAATAAAAAGTCTCATTCAGTTACTTTTTTGTATGAACGTGAGAAATACACTTACTCCACTGCTGAAGAGATAAAATATTTATGCAAAAATAGAATTTGGTTAGAACCTAGACAGTCTTAAACCTTGAATATATCCTCCTTACGAAGAAAATTTTGACATGTAAAGTGGTTAACTAGAAGCAAAGGATGCAAGTGATGTGATTGATTAGTCATTTTACAAGAGCCTCACAAAAAGATTAAGTGTGTTTAACGCATTTCACAACTGTCTGACACCAAGCTTATTTTTACAAGTATTTCGCAATTCTAAAATAAAGCGACTACAAAATACAGAGAATTATTAAATAATAAAGAAGGAAATATAATCCAACGGAGTCTGAATTCCCTATGCTAACTCATAGATATTAGGAAAGCACTTATCAAAGAGGCTTATAAATCTAAGAAAACAAAGTGATAATAATTCACATAGTCGAGTGTCATTGGATTTGGCTACTGAAGGTTTGAATTATGAGACATCTAGATTAATTCAGGACTGAAGGATCAGGCAAGGAAGCTAAAGCTTCTTCTGCGAATAGATTTTCTCTCCCATGAATTACACTGATTGGTCAGAGAACGGCAACCAATTCTATGCTGTCTAGCCCTGAGTGCTGATCAAATTCTGTTAATTAATCACTTCACTGTGCGGCCACCAAGCTGGAAGGATCAGCATCGCGATGCACATTGGTAAATGTTAGTTTGTTGGTCACCCTCCCGTAGTCAATCAAGTAATGTAACCCAGCCTGACAGGAGGTTAATCGCATCCCTAATACCTCATTGATAACATCGCTGGCTACAGCACTGGGGAATGTGAGTTACAATCTCAGATGGGACATCAGTCCGTGGAGGTTGCAGCCACGCCTTGCTGACGAGTGCCGACAAGCATGAAACCTAGGTCCAGGGCTAGCTGCCGATTGCCACCAACAAACTAGCGGTTCTGTGAATTAGTTGGCCGTCAGAAAGAAATGAAATTTTACCACCTTTAGCTGATAATTAAGAATCTTATTCTGTCTGAAGGACGAAACTACAAAGAAAAACTTCACGGCAGCCATCAAGACAAAATGGGAGACATCGAGCAACATCCCTGAAGAAACATGTATGGATGAACACTAGAACTCTTTGAAAGAGATGTGGAAAGAAACCTGCACAACAGTATTAAGAAGAAAGAAGAAAAGGAATGGATCTCGGCGGATACATGGAAGCTGATAGAGGAGAGGAGGATGGTGAAACAGAAGATAAACCAGTGCAAGGACGCTCAACGACAAGAGGAACTGAGCACAATGTATAAAACACTGAACAAAGAAGTAAAGAAGAGTGCACGCAAAGACAAAAGACACTTCTACGAAACACTGGTAAGTGAAGCAGAACAGGCTGCAGGTAGAAGAGACAGAGACCTGACAATATTGTATCAAATAACCAGGTTGCTATCAGGGAAGAGATCAACACAGATGAAACCAATAAAAGATGAAGAAGGAAATTTAATTACGAAAGAAGAGAAACAAAGGAAACAATAGGCCGACCACTTCATAAAGCTCTTGAATCGACCACCACCTGCACTTCGTCCAGAAATACCACCTGCAGCCACTTAACTGCAAGTGAACATAAATCCTCCAACAAAAGTGGAAGTCCTGAACGCCATAAAGCTACTGAAATGTGGGAAAGCAGCAGGACCAGACGGGATACCGCCAGAAGCACTGAGAACAGACGCAGAGACAACAGCGGACATGCTCACACCACTATTGCAGAAGGTGTGGAAGGAAGAGAAGGTACTTGTCTATTGATTGGAAGAAGGGTTACCTTGTCAAACTGCCGAAGAAGGGAGACCTCAGTGCTTGCAAGAACTGGCACGGAATCCCTCTCCTGTCCACCCCAAGCAAGCGAAAAATTACGCCGCATCATCCTGGAGAGACTAAAGAATGCGCTGGATCCAAAACTGCGACCGGGACAGGCAGGCTTCAGGAATTACAGATCATGTGCGGACCAAATTGCAACGCTTCACATAATCATACAACAGAGTATAGAATGGCAGTCAACTCAACTCTACTTGAGCTTCATCGACTTTAAAAAGATCTTCAACAGCGTCGACCAACAAGTAATTTGGCGACTGCTTCAACACTACGGAATACCACAAACCTTTATCAATCTCATTCAATAACTATATTATCAGGCTACATGCTGAGTGATCCACAATGAAAAGCTCAGTGATGCTTTTGAAGTGAAAAAAGAAGTAAAACAAGGCTGTCTGATATCACCCATGACTTTCCTGATTGTAGTGGACTGGATCACGCAACAAACAGTGAGGAGGGAGAAGAGGGGGATAGACTGGAACGCGGAAAACAACCTGGAAGGTTTGGATTTCGCCGATGACTTGTGTCTGATGTCACACAAACTTGAGGATCTACAGGCGAAAACCAACAAGTTGATAGAAGATGCAGAGCAGCGAAGACGGGACT